AATGCCGAAAGGCGACATCATATGAGGAACTCTTGTGCATTTCTGAGCTATCACTGCTGCTTGCCCGAATAAATGTATCTCAATATGCAAGTGAAGCTGAGCACCATAGCGACCTGTTGAAACGCCTGTCTATTTATTCCTAACAGACTGGGGCACCAGGCGAATGGATGTCACATTTACTGGTATGTTGACTTCCGGAAAGACCTAGAACATGAGCTGACGCTGAAACTCTCCGACCTGCCAATGTATTGAGCGAAAATCAACTGATTTACTCTAGATAGGCCCCAGCAAATTCTGTTTATGAATCAACTTGTAATATAGAACTGCGGCCGCCCAACTGAGACATGCCCATAATGAGGTGCAGAATAAGCAGTTGCGTTCAAATGTATACATGTACAACACGTTTGTGAGCTTGCCGGTTTGGCGACAAATGGTTTGTCTATCACGCACTACTTGGCTCCGATTGGTAGGCGTGTGTTTGCTGTGGGCTCCATCGGTTAACCTACCTCCCGGTCACATATGGTTTTGTTCAGGGTGACTGTTGCAGCTTAGTTCGGCGCAGAATTGAGCAGCTGCATAAAAGTGAATACAAGTCCCCTAGGTCAATAAAAACTAGAATCATATATATAGTAAATCTCTTATGGGGCAGTTTGCAAATGGATGGATATGAGCAATCAGTTAATATGGAACGACAACATTCGCGGAAAAATGAGAATATCTGTGCAAAACAGCACGCACCACCTTGAGCGCCAGGAATATGTGGAACAGAATAAAAGGGAGTTTTAATACGTCGTTTACTCGTACACTTACGGGAATCTTCTTGTTACCCTAACATTGAATCATATTGAGTTGAACATTATTTTGAATACAATTTAATCAGTTAGCAATTTGTTGCACCACATACCATTGCAAGCCAAATGTTGAGGATTTTCCAAGGCTACAGCGTAGGTCTTGAGAGGTGATGGTTTTTAGTACAAGCCACTTCACCTGTAGGTGATTTCTGGGGTAAGCGGGCGTTTGCTACGAATGGCAGGTTACCCGGTAATTTGCAAAGTTCAACGCAGTACGGCATGGGATATTTTCAAACACTAGGAGATGCTCTTGAATATCTGTCGTGGCATCTCAACGACCAAATGACCTATTGGAGGGGGCTTGATAAATGCGGCTATCTATTGTCAAATGGACTCGCTAGCAGGCTAACAGCAGATTTTTAGGGAACACTGTTCAAATGGAAATATTACGCCAGACGAGTGACTAGCCGCAGGACCTTTCGATGAAAGGAAATTAGGACTGACATTGGGAGTATCAGTTGCGCAGCATATTAGTTGACCAATTTTTCCCATAGAACACGATGGGCCCTTTGTTGGGACGCAGCATTTCTGCTATGATGATTTCGTGTGAATTTTTTTCCGCACTTGGACGAATAGGTAGGTACATCAAATTGAAACATTAGTTTTTAGGGGAAACCAAAAGATGAATCGAAAAAACCAGGTTTCATTTCTGGTTTTGTGCAGTGCCCATCGTATACGCTGGAATATTTTGAATGCATGCTGTATGAATTGAAGAGCCTAAAATCAAACTCACTTTGGGATGTTGCTGACGGTTATATACCACTGGGTTTCTAGTAGTCTCAGTAAATCTTCCCGGAGTTTCAAGCTGAGGCTTTAAGTAGGAGTTAAGATGAAACTTGGGACAAAGTAGTTAAGACTCATTTCTTTTTATTTGTTATATTCATTGACAGGTGAGCTAATACCACACGGACTTACCTTCTGCTGGCCTTTGGCAAGAATTTATACGAATTGAAACGCAGGAAATCGATACAATAAACGAAGATATTCACCGCAAACAGATAATTCCGAGTGGGGAATAAAAGCCTCGATGCTGCAGTGCCGCGGAATCGTTGACTTTGTCGTTTCGCGGGGTATTGCGCTAAT